CGGTGAGTTGCAGTGGTAATATAATACATGGCAACAAATCGGAAACAAGTTGTCCACTACCCCATGTACGGTGATTACCGGATAGAAGTACTGCTGCTGATGCATCTAAAAATGACTGAAATGATTCGGTGAAGAAAAAAAAAAAGACTGATTTAGTCATTGAAGAATAGCTAAACGATCAGCTATTACATTGTTTATAGTAGATAGTATGCATTACTTTTATCTGTAGATTTTATATGTGTGTATTTGAGCTTTTCAACAATCAAATAACGATTTTTTATAATTTACCAAACGTTCTGAATTATCGAAAATTCAACTGACTGATAAGTTAAATGAAAAATATGAAAAAGGATTGCAATTGGTATTTGTGGCTTTCACGAGACTAATGAACATTCAGAGTTATAAAATCATCGAAATTATATTGACCAGGTGAATATTGTTACCTGGATCGAGATTATATACCGTACGGATTATTGTCTGACCTGGATGATGAGTTGTTTGAAGCATACTGATCCATGGTTCTGCTTCCGGAGTGGACAGCAACACTTTCCAGTCCAGTTCATCTTCATTCGTATTGGACCATCGACAATTATTATCAAATCCATGACAATTCAAGTCAGAAGCCTCCTGTACAACATCCAAATTTTCTTGTACATTTACTGGTGCAGTGAGCAGTGATAGGTACTCATCCTTTACAGCATTAAAATCAGTTGCGTCCATATACGATCGTAGACGACCAGCTTAAATTTTCACTTTTAATTTTTTGAATCTTCATACTTCCTACGAAATGTTAATCGGAAATTTTGTTAGATAACAGAAACTAAAGTGAAAAAAATTATGGGCAACATTGAAAAAGTACAAAATGGTTAAAACTGATGTTCTAATTGGTTTTAAAAATTTGTACATCAAGAAGCATTAAATGATGCCAACCGTATTAAAAGTTTTTGCAGTATTTAGGGATTTAGAAATTATTACAATAAAAATACCTGACAGAGCCAGCGGATGGTGTGGATAAGTTTCATAATAGACTGGTGGAAAGCATCCATTACCTGTATATTAGATTAATTATCTTACTTCTATGTTGACAAAAAGTTTGACATTTCAAGTAAAAATAAAAAATTTTCTAAAAAATCCTTAGATAAAAAATATCTCATAATTTTTTTTTCCATAAAAGTGTTTGTTGCAGCTGCAGAATTTTCCCTTTTTTTGCGTTCAATATAAAATATCAATGGCAAAATAATGTACAGTTTGACTAATATCAAGTTATGACCTTTTGTCTATTTTTAAAGTAGTGATTAAACAAATGCAACTCCAGCATTTTGTAATTAAGGTAGAGTTAAAAGTTTATAAGTTAAAGTAAGCTCCTATAAATATTGAGCTAAAAGGCAAATCATTAAAAATAACTTATTGAACAAGCATAACTAGAAAACATATTGCAATAACAATACATTTAATTTTACTTCTTATAATTTGCTGATAAAGATATGTTAGCAATTTATGGATGATAAGCTTGCAAAACAGGGATAGAGTAAAAGTAGCAAGAGAATCAAACAACTCAATACATGAAATTGTATTTTATCATCCAATGGTCTGAGAAGAACAATAAGTTGGCAATGAAATATAAATATTTCTATATCGGTGGAAAAATAAAACTTCTGAGCAACTTTTCGGACACATTTAATTTCTAGATACTTGCAAGAATTATTGCTATAATCTTTATTGCCACTGATTTTTTCGTTTAGGAATTCAAAAAATTTTCGGACTTACTCTACTTTCAAAATCAATTTCACCATCTAAAAATTTTAGTGATTTGTTAATTAACATTTCATATTAACACGTGAAATTAAGGAAGTGATAAGAAATGTTATAAGAGAAAATGAAAATGAGAAAAATATTTTCACCTTCATATTTGTATTATTAATATGTGTTGATCGTAAAATGGTGATGATCATGATAATGATTATGATGATTTTTGTAGTTGCTATCGCCATTCTCATTATCATAATAAGTAAATTTACTATTATTACCAATCATTACCTTCCCCTTAATCAATAAATTTCAAATTCATCCATGATTATTTCAATTTTAGATGTGTCAAGAAAAAACGAAAGAAATTCTAACTCACATATGAGTAAAGAAGAATGGAAGTTGTAGAGAAAAAAGCAAATGGTCAGTGGTTGGTGAAACACCACCATTTCATGCGAACAGTATCGTTTAGTTCAGTTCAGGAATTGAATCACCACTGCCAGCTCTGTCCCGTCCAATACTCTTATCGGATATCCATTAATTTCACTCCCTTTCCCTCCCCCTTTTCCTCTTACCCGTTATCCGCCCACCTATGGAATGCTTAATCATTATATATTGCATTTAATCGGGAGCATTTAAATATTTGTTCGTCCAGTTTAGCTGAATTTAATGCTCGCGTACAATATTCCCTTTTCCTCCTTAACTTCATCATCTGTCATCGTTCTGTCCAATCCCTTTTCCTTGTCACCTCAATTCATCCTTTCTCCTCTTTCGAATTCATTGACCATTACCTTTAAAATTCCATTAAATTTTTTAAACACGAAAATAATCAGTTTTACTTGTCAATATTGAATACTTTCGGCAACTTGATAAGCATTTTTCTGATGCATTAGATTTTCCCATTAATGATTGAAACAAAACCCTTATGTATTTAGTTGTCATTTCAGGATTTCCGGGCATGTAAAATTCAGAATTGTAGGATAAGTAGCATTCAAAATTTATGAAACCAGAATAATTCACCGCTTGAGTTTTACTTGAAATATTCATGTCCCCATAAAGGAGATGAAGGCAAAAGGGTTCATCACAGAAGAGGTCAATGAGGTTCTCTTTTTCGCATATTCAACACTGTCACGAAGGATCTCTGACTCTATTTCATTGGTCAACGGAAGAACTGGTTAAACCGATTAACGTATTCGAGTCTAATTCAGAGAAAGAAAAGAAAAACACCCTTACATTTAAAATGTTCACCTTCATTTGGAAATATATATATATATATATTTGGAACAGTTTGGTATGCTTTTGGAAGACAAATAGGAAAAAAAGATGGGAAGTTCAAAAATATGCATGCATAGATGGCGCAAGTTGAAGCATGCAGTGATTATTATTATGTGCAACAAAATTTAAGTGAAGTGAGAATTTTCTGAATTCCTCTAAACTTTAGACTTCAACTTCATACCGAGTATTACAAAGAAACAGAAATGAACAACGAAACCCATGCCAATGATTTTACTGAACATCAATTGTAGCAGAAAATTAAGGTACGCTTTTCAGTAATTTTAATTCGTCAATAATATGGTTTTTGAATTAGTGGGAAAAGCATTTTAAGAAGGAATTTAACAACGGCTAGTAGAACATAGGTAAAAGATGAAAAGGATAACTATGATGTAATTACTGTTTAAGCTAAGGCATCAAGAAATGGGCCATAAATATTTTCATGTGATTTTAATAAACATGCCTTTTTTTTTTTTCAAACAATTTCAAACCATAACAAGATATTAAAAATGCCTGATCGATTCTTGCATCTTGCATAACAACGGTAAAAGAAATATTCCGGATGGGAATACCGTTCCTTACCGGACATCTTACTGTAGATCGTGTCTTTTCTTTTTCTTTTTTTCATATATTGTATATTGATATATGTAAAAGGTGAATGAAGTGTAAACTGCAATCTTTTCAAATATATTTATCAAACTGAGATCAACCATAGAAATTACGAAGAAAAAAAAAAACACTGAAATCATTTTACATGAATTTAGATTTGATATAGTTATAAAAGCACTAATTCTAACAGGGCAAAGTAACTCTAAGGAAGCATTGCAACCGTAAACAAATACATTCATGTATCATATGAAAGGTTGTAGGATGCATAAACTTTGGCAGTGTATTTTGACAGAAAATGTTTGGCAATTTAATTGAAATTTTTCCTAATTCACATTAATATTTTCAAATTCTAACCTTCCATATAAGTATATGAATCAAATTTCTGACTAACCTAACATTACCGCATCATTTCAAGCTTCTCGTTTATTACAATATTTCTAGAATTTGAACGAATGACTAGATGAGTATAATACTGAAACTTTGTTGCCCACAAACTCGAACATATATAGAGAGGAATAAATATTTTACAAGGAGCTAATTATATATAGTTACAAGGAAGTATTTACTTATTCTCGCCTTCATTCTTTTAAAATAGATTAAAAATTTGAATATAGTCCACATGACATTTCTGATTTGTTTCCTCCCTCTTTGCTCACCAAAAAATATGAAAAAATTATCGAGACTTCCTAAAAGGTATTAAATTAAAAGTAATGATTCATGCATTAGTTAAACTAAGCAAAAGTAGAAATAATATATATTGAAATGAATTTTACTTTGCATTTTACGTTTTGATGTTACAAGTAAAATGTTAACATGACGACTACATCAAAACAATGAAGAAATCATTTTTACCTTATTAATTAACAAATAAAAATGCCTGGCAAATTTAATAGTATAATTTTGTGAAGGAAAAAAAAAGAAGATAAATAGAAAACACACAGCCTTTTCACATCAACAAAAGCGATGTGATCAAAAAAGAGGACATTATTAATTATTTGTTGAAATTCTTTTTTGTTCCCGGAAGAAAAGGAGAGAGAGAGAAATATTCCAGTAACAATTATGAAAACTGATGACAAATGCAGTAACATCCTTAACAACCAATTACATATGATATTTTAAACATTAAAGCGCGGATGGGCAAAATAAACTAATATGAAAGAAAAAAGAGAAGAAATTTACTTAGGGAAAGCAAAACATTTCTAAAATGTATGGTTTTATTCAAAATTTTAGTCATATTTTTGTTACAAACCGTTGAATATTGATGGAAAGTTTAAATTCAATCAATTTTCCGAGAAAATTTTATGAGATTAAGCTTTTTTCTTTCTTGTTTTTCCATTATTTTAATTATTGGAACGTCGGAAAAAAAAGTCATTTTACAGTGGAATCAAGCAGAAACATAGAAAAGCTAAAAATGTGACAACTGGTGAGAACCAAATAACTATCGCACCACATCTAAAATTATGGAATTAATATTTTTGATGCTAACATAGCTTTTTGATCTTTTTTAGCAATTTTATGAGTTTTCCCTGTATTACAAAAGCGGACTATCATCAATTACGTTAATTACTTACGTTTGATTGGCAGGGCACTTTTTCTCACAAATTTCTCCATAAAATAAATCCTTGCAACTGCATCTGAAAGCATAAACAATTCACTGCGTTCCGTTTATTTGGTCAATAAAAAGTACTGAAAAAAAAAGAAACATTTGGAGAATTTCTGAAACCTTATGGATATTTGCCCAATAAACTTACATTTGAGAAAGATTAGAAATCGTCAGTAAATTAAGAATATTCTTTTACAGTTAAATTTAGCACACCAGAAATCCCTCTCAAATATTTTTCAAGTGCCGTGGCTAAGAGGATGTGGTACATCCGCATGAGAAGCTAAAATGACACATAAACGAAAGTAATAAAATGTTGGGATGCAAGTAAAATGTATTATTTATTGCATTTTCCTTTCAAATTATACCGAATAGGTAAGGGATCCGGTCCGGAATGCCTTGAATTGAGTTAAAAAGGAGAAAGTCGGTAGTGTTGTGAATATTGTTCATTTGAAAAAAGATGTAAATGATGAGAACCTTCCATCAATAACTTCACCATCATTCCTACATTTGATAATCTTATCACAATTATCGCCTTCATATTCATCGGCACAACGACACTTATCACCCGCATTGCGCCATCTCCTTTCATGCTCTTCAAAACATTCAAAATGAATAATAGCTTTGTTATTAATTAAACCATAATTGGTATGAATAACCATAAATAAAGGATCGAAAAGAATATTAGCATATCGACGCATTTTTTTTTTCCTTTCCCTCTCTCTAACAAATGCCTCATTAAAAAAAACTTCAAACTTGGTAATTAGTTAAAACTTGAATTAAATGATATATAATCAAAGCAAATGTGAGCGGAAATATCTGGTTACCTTTCGGAGCCATACGCCAACAGGCAAGTCGTTCGCAATTTCGTCCATCCCATGGGGCCTTACACATGCATTCAATCTGTTTAGAGCCAATAGCAATCGTTCCATTATGTTGGCATGAATTTGGTGTACATCTAAATATTGTTTCTGTTTTTTTTTTTTTTTTCTTCTAAAGTTTTCCAGTCCGAAATCGACAATAGCAAGAGTGATGTCTCCATAATCACTTAGAATGTTAAGGACATTAAATTTACATCAATGTCAAGGTGGCACTTTTTCAGTCATTTCATAAATTATTAGATTTACTTAGAATTATTGGAATAATGATAAAGAGAAATTAGAGTATTACGGATCTTTCATTTTTTTTTAATGTACTGAAATCATTTTAACATCAAGAATGATTAAATTGGAAGGATTTTTTTTTTTTGGAACACTTGTAAATGAAGTTTCATTGCACGAGAACAATTTTACCTATGATGCCAGTATTCATTCTTTTAGTTCGAGAAATTAAAAAAAATCTCCTTACGGTAAAATCTCTGAATATGGAAGGATATAAAAAAAAGAAATTATTCAAGGATTTACATTACAATTTCGAATTGTTAATTTAACTGACAAAATTTTCACTTTTGTCACATAATTGAAGATAATTATGGATGTAAAAATTAGCAATCTGAATAGAAAACAAAGCTTACACGCTGTTGTATAGGGAGAAACCAGTTGGACAACCATAGTATTCATTACAGATAGGCCCCTTCCATCCAGGCTTGCATTCGCATTTATTATTTTTCATTCTTCCATGCACTAAATATGAAAAGTTTATTTTAGAGTTTTAAATTTTAAAATTGTTGATGTGAATCATTTTGTAATTTTTTATGAAAATCTAAGTCACGTTAAAAATATACTCTGTATTATGTCTTGAATTAATCAATGCTAATAATTGCTTAGCTATAGGGAAAATTTCGTCTAAATTTTGCATTGATATTACGAAAAATTCACCTCTCAAAGTACGACATTTGATTTCTTCATATTCGGAACTGAACTCTTCACCACCAGCTTTAGCTTCTGAATATTTATCACATTTTTCCAGACTTCCATCTATGATTCCATAACCATAGTAGGAATCCAAACTACAACCTTCTGGTATCAAATTAAGTGGGACCAAATCAACGTATGCATCATCTTTATCCTTATGTCGCTGTTGACATATTATAATTGGCGCTATTGACATGCACACTAATAAGTGTATCGCTCCAAATTTCATTACTGGAATTTTAAAAAAAATAAAAGAATTATTCATCAATGTTTAGTAAGAAAAAAAAAAGCAAATAAATGCGTAAACGTACGATGGATTTTTTTTTTTAGCATGAATAAAACGAAGAATAAATTTCATTACAATTATAAATTCTTATCAAGCTAACTATCTCCTTTGAATCGAGAAATATGAAGTAAAAAATTTATCACCTTAAATAATTACATTACTCATTGACATCTGTGAAAGTCGTATTATCATTGATTACATCATCATTTAAATGATGTAAAAAAAAAGAACAAAAAAAAAAATGTTCAACAATAAGACACTTTTTTTTCTTAAAACAATTTTTAATGTATGAAAAATAACGAGAAAATAATACATTTTTAAATTTTGTTTTTGGCTTAAAATGAATGGTAAAAAGAAGTATGAAAAACTCTGTGGAAATTTTAAATAAAGTAATATATGCGAGAGAATCATTTCATCTTTTCCTTCTTTCCTCTCTCTCTCTCCCTCTCTTGATGACGATAATAGTGAATTTAGATCAATAGAAAAGCATGAACGGATGTTAGGAATAAAGAAGGAGGGAAAAAAGAGATAATTAAAAAGATGAGACGAGCTAGTTTTATTTTAAAAAAGACAACTGAAAAAGGTTGCTAAGAAATGAACTAATCATTACAAATAAGTATTAAGTAACTTAAATTCACAATAATTATAATAGTAACATCAAAACAATAATGAAAGAAAGTGTCGGAAAAGCGGAAAAAATATTTATTACACATTAAATGTTTAGAATAATGTTAAAGATTCATTTCTATGAACCAATTCGTTATTCCTTTGTTATTTCTCATTTTTGAAACAGCGAATCCTTTATCTAAACCTCAAATAGTAAATATACATCTGTCTTCATTATAAATGTTAATTTGCTAAGCTAACCCACTTCCTATATCTTTAAAAATCTTCTCTAATTAGTTGATAAAATAGACACGATCGGTGGCAGTCTTCTCAACCTCCTATTCAATAATACCATTTATTCCTCCGCTGTTTCGATTATTCAACTGCATATTGTCTCGACGCATTTATAAAGAAAATGAACAATATCTGGGTTGGTCTTGCTAGCAGATAAAGAAATAACGAATAACAAATTCAAAGTAAGTCAAATGAACTTAACTAACCCAAATCATCAATTCTTCTGACCAAAAAGTTACTTGAAATTTACTACAGAAAGGTAGTAAACGATATAGGAATAGAAATAAATGAAAACTCGAAAAGGAAGAAAAGATATTGGGAAGTTGACCAGAAAGAATAAATTGATCAGTATGAGAGGATAAATTACAATTATAATAAAGTGTAGAAAACAAAAGAATCAACACTTAACAATGCCAGATGATTGATAATTTCATGGCATATGTTTTTAACGTCACAACATTTATGGAAATATTAAAAACAAACCTAATAGATGCAAAAGGAAGGAAAATTGGATAAGTGATAAATGTTAAGAATAATTATTCTTCTCTTTTCTATTTTCTTTTTTCCATTTTTAAAGTGATCCTGATTGAAGGATTTTCTATTTTAAATTATAAATTAAATTTGCAAGTTGGTAAGCTTTATGAATTTCATTGAAGAATAAAGTTTCTTCCGCCATTTTCATATCTTCAGTAGCGCTTCTATGCTGTGCCAAGCAACTCTCGGAAGCTGATGTACGACTTGCATTCTTGAAATGATTAATGAATAAAGCCTATTTTTTTTCTCTTTAAGGTTTAATTATTCAAAAAAAAATATCAAAAATATATACGAAATGCTGAGGACGGTTATAAGATTGAAATGAATTAATGAAGTGGTTAATTTTGCAAATGGATAATTTACTTCCGTAATTTTTTCGACAGCATTATACTTAACGCTCGAGATAAAAGTAGAGAATTTCTTTGGTATATACATTACCTGAAGGATGAGTTGCCATGGAGATTGTTCCTGAGAAATCTATGCTTACCTTTAATACAAAGTGTTGAATTTATCCAAGAACTTCAAAAATTCTACAAGAAAACTTACATGCAAACTTGCCATTTTAACCAAAGGGGACAACTCCCACTAGGCCCTCGATTGTTCTGTGGTCCTAACCTAAATCATTGATGTCTGGCTCATGGAGTAACATTTCTTTTTTGCCGTAGTCATCGATAACAGATCAGTACATTGCATATGCCAGGCAGGTTAAGAAAAGATTTTCGAATGAAATAATATTTGGTTTATTTAGGGTTCGTATGAATTGTTTTTCAAATTAAGCAATTTTAGTTCGAAATTTCTTTTAAAAATTTGTTTTAAATTAACAGTGAGAAGATCTCATCATGCAATTCGCATAAAGTGAAAAATGAAACTCTTAAAATCGAATATACCTATAAGTGTTTTTTTTTCTTCAGATGAAGAGCTCAAGAAACAATAACGATCTAAAAAACTTACTATTAGTTATTAATTCTATGCTACCGATTCACATGCCATGAATAGTTTGAGAATGCTTGATTACGGTTCGTAGTTTACAAATAAATTTAAATTGTAAATCCTAAAATGCGACAAATGTCAGAATGATGTCGGTTGCTAATCAATAATTCCGCCATAATTTTAGATAAACTACCAATCCAATAATGAAAGTATAAATTCAATTCCTATAATGCACATAATTTGGTAAAACCGTTTGCTCAACTTTCGCCATCAGGAATGATTCTTTACGAACATAATTAGTGGTTGATATTAAATACACTTTTGGATTATTGTAACTTAAAAATAATTCTTGAGTTAGAGAATTATGCTACTGGGTAGATTTGATTTATTAAAAAGTAACAGCAAAGATTATGAAAATAAAAAAAAAAAAAAGATAAACAAGTAAGTTAAGAGGAACAATAAGAATAAACAAAATTACACAAAATTGATGTTTGATCAACATTATATGCTATGTTTTCTGAATGTGCGCAATATATACGAATAGAAATTTGGCGTATTTAAAATGAATGCTTAGCAAAAGAAAATCAATGTGGAAGTAGTTAGTATTCAAGGAAAAAGAGTTGTGAAAGAATGAAAGTGAAATTGAAAGGCCATAGAATTAACTTCGTCATCTCAGATAACACATATCTTTGAGCATGTCATTGGCAGTGTTTTATTTTTCATTTCATTTTAATTCATTTTCTCAGGATGAAACAAAGCAGGAAGTGACACAAACACATTGGAAGTAGGTAAGAATATGATTTAGTGAGTTTAAATATAGCACTGAAAGAGGAATTCTATTTTTCTTTTACACTGTCAATGTTCGCTGCTAAAAACATCACATCACATTTTTGAAGTGAAAATAACATAAAGCTATTCACATAATAGATGTAAAGCAAAATTTTGGTTGGAAATATAAACAAGCATTCACGAAAAGTTCTCCTTATCATCTTGTCATCATCCTGTCTTATTGTTATCTCTCCTTTTGTTATTATCTTCCATAATATGATTTATTAAATCTTGTGATGCAATATGACAGGTCGTAGACATCTTTTAGAAATGACACAATGCTAATTAAAATTATTGAAACGGACTAATAAGTTATCATTGTGCATTAAAGATCTTTATTCAGCGGAAATTAATATTATTATATATAGAAAGTTTGATGAGGAAAATCACTTGACTGTTATAATTTGAAGAATTATTTTGCTAGCATATAAAATGATAAAATACAAAGATCAATGGAAAAATGTGTGAAAATTTCTGATTGAAAAGACACCAACAGCAAAAATATTAATAAAAAGAGGATTTTCGCATCTTTGTTCCTTTTCCCTTCCTTCCCGGGTTTCCCCTTTCTTCCTTCCTGAAGAGCAGTTTAGAAGTCTCTCAGTCTTCCTGTATTTCCTTCTCTTCTTTGTGTTTGATAATGTTTTTTTCTTTTTTGTTTTAATTTGTTTTATAATTTATTCTTTTCCACACTAATCTTATCTCCTTCTATCTTCTCGACTTATTTAATTCCATCTTATCCATCCTAATGTTGACAAAATCCCATGAGCTTACATTTTGTTTACTCTTCCATTTAACATGGCACATTGTATTTCCCATGTTTTGTAAATTTTTTCAATCAGCAAATCACATCATTCCATTAACGTAAGCAAAGTAACGCTTTCAATGAAAAAGGGGAATGAACTAATGTCCGGACCATGTCTCTTTTTGTGTTCCCAAAAAAACATTTCGAATGGAAGTGTTCAGAAGTAGTTAAACTTTATATTAATATATTAAATTTCTCGCAAACCATTACTGTAAGTTTTTTCACACACATATATCTGTGAATCATTTTTAAATTTGATGGGAAAAAAATGAGGAAAAGTGCAAGAAATCAATTATTCAATGTACAACGAAAGCGTCTACTAAAAATATCATTGTTGAGAATACGATATCAGAGTGAAAATACCTCAGTTATAGGAAGAGGATGATTAAACCAATTACATTGAATCACTAAAACAATAATAATTATTTAGGTAGTAAAACAAATCTAATAAACGTATGAATGAAGAAGGTAATGTACTACTAGAAGGATCTAAATTTAATTCCTCTGAGAGTTTAACTTTATCGATGGTAATATTAGTTATAGTGCATTGCTTAATAAAGATGAAATTAGTTGAAACTTACGCAGATCACTTGTCTCAGTCCAAATGCTGAGTAAGAGCTCTCTTCTAAGGAATAAGATAGAATTTTAATTGCAATCCTTGATCTATACTATTTTGTTGTTTTGAATACAAAGAATTATGAGATGTTAAAAATAGTTTGAGTTTAAGAGAAGTTTAAAATCTTGGAATAGAATGCTTGATGTATGTTCTCTTTCAGTCTTTTGCAAATGTTTCATAACTTCAATAAGCATCAATAATTTCAAACAATGATGAAGTGAATTGCTATTTTTTTTTTTCTAATATTGCAAATGATATCTATGTCTCTGAATATCAGTCGTACAAATACGAAATGTGAAATACCAATAATTTTTTTTCGAAAAATTGGAAGAA